ATGCAGAAACTATAACTTGTAACGAACATGGCTGAATTTTTTTCCCCCAGGTAAAAATGTAGGGCAAGGTGCCCTACTGCAAATATATTAAAACTACAAGTAACACATTGTTAGCTCATGAGCTGGTAAAAAGCTACAATAGAAAGAATATTTCTCCTAGAATCATGCTGAATATTGACATTAAGAAAGCATTTGATACCATCAGTTGGGATTTCTTAAAAGATATGCTCAAAGGCCTGGGTTTCCCAAATATATTCATAGACTAGATTATGGTCTGTATCTCAACCCCGAAGTACTCTATTTCTCTTAATGGAGCACTGCATGGATATTTCAAGGGGGAAAGGAGATTGAGACAAGGGGATCCACTCTCCCCATACCTCTTTATTTTGGGAATGGAGTATCTTTCAAGGACTTTAGGTCTTCTGGAGTATGATAAGCGGTTCAAATATCATCCCAAGTGTGGTAAATTAAAAATTACACACTTAATATTTGCAGATGATTTACTGCTCTTTGGAAAAGGTGACTTATATACTATGATGAAACTTTATCAGTGTGTTACAAAGTTTGGTGAAATCTTAGGACTTCAAATGAATAAAGAAAAATCCACAGTTTTCTTTGGGGGGGTTGAGGACTCTGTAAAAGAAACTATGAGAGCTCATCTTTATCCTTCTGAGGGCTCTTTTCCTATCAGATATCTTGGAGTCCCTCTGATATGCAAAAGATTATCCTATGAGGATTGTAATTCACTCATCAGTATGGTCTCTAGTCAGATTCAGGCATGGAATAAAATCTGGAAGCTCTCATATGCAGGAAGGTTACAAGTAATCAAAAGTGTCATTTTAGGAGTTCAAATTTTTTGGACTTCAAATTATATCCTGCCAGTAAGAGTTACACAAAAAATTAATGAGCTATGTAGGAACTTTTTGTGGGGAAAGACAAGCCATATACATAAAATTCCCTTAGTCTCTTGGGATAAAGTCTGTCTAAGTAAGAAACAGGGTGGTCTTAGTATTTTTTCTGCCACAATCTGGAATTTGGCTGCTGCTCTAAAAAATCTATGGTATATTCATGTTAACAGAGAGTTGATGTGGATCAAATGGATTCATGGTACTTACTTGAAACAAAGGGATGTTTGGCATATTAATGTAAGAAGTGAGGACTCTTGGATGTGGAAACAGTTAATGAAAGCAAGAGACAAGGCTGCAATCTCTTGTGGAGGTGTTGGCAAC